ATAGGACTATCCTATGCGCGCTAGCCAGTAAGCTACGTGATCCACGATTTAATGGCCTTAGCACTGGCCACCAATTTGGTAGGTTGTTGTTGTAAGTTTCACCACCGTAATAATTGTTCTTTTTAATCGGTTCTTCATGAATCCCGTTCCTGTTCATGGTGGATTCTTGTTTTTTTTCAAACGTGAAATGTAGGGTGAATTTGACAAGTTTCTTAGCAAAATGATTCATTCATGACATTGCATCTTGTATGAGGAGCTGATTTGTAGCATTTCATGGCAGATGCAAAATATTGCATGACCTCTACAATCAAGTGATAGTGAAAAATCCTGCAGACGTGTGTGATTGTCGTGAAAATGGAGGCCTTCAGGAGGCGACTAGGTATTGATTTGCAGGTCAGGAAGGACACGAGGATGTTGGAATGGAGGAAATGACGTGCTTAAGCAGTATTAGGACGCAGGCAAGGAGTGTCCTTGTTCTTCTTTTTTAATAGTACGTGTCGTTGTATTTCGTGGGAGACATGTACGACGTCCTTGTCCCTCCATTGTCACAAAGGAAAAGGGCGTCATGGAGAATGCGGGCATCGATCCCGCTACCTCTCGCATGCTAAGCAAGCGCTCTACCATTTGAGCTAATTCCCCGGGGGGACCAAAGTGCCGTGCTGAGCAGGGATGTCTTTGTTTCTTTCGCTGGTACACGAGAATTGAAAAGTGCTTTTTGGATGGATGTTCCTTTCAGCTTTTGTAGGAAGCGCCCACTGCAAGGAATTGAAAGACAGGGGAGCCAAGTTGTAGTGAGAGCAGGAGTACAGTTTAATGCGGGTGGAATAGGTAGTCTCATGGAGATAGAGGGCGGTTTAAAACACTTTGGAAGAGGTAAAATGGCATTGTGTAAGAAGGCTTTGACAAATAGTTGTTTGGCTAAGTTAGAAAAGAGCTTGCTCCCCGTCGGGGGAATCGAACCCCCGGTCTCTCACGTGACAGGCGGGATACTCACCACTATACTAACGAGGAGAAGAGATGGGAACAGCTTCCCAACAGCGTGTGCTACTGCTAACGTTGACCCCATACACCTTTGGAGCAGCGCGCTTACTGAAATATCAAGCCCAAGGACAGGCATTATTCATTTTGCTAGCAGGCAGAAATAGCTCAGTTGGGAGAGCGTTAGACTGAAGATCTAAAGGTCCCTGGTTCAATCCCGGGTTTCGGCACAGACTTGCACCTTTGTGTTAGCAGTCTAGACTTGACCCTTTTGCTGAGCATCGCATGGGCTCAACCCCGACTGACCACAGTCTCCACGTTCTCCTTCAAAATGACAACGGATGTGTCTGCTCTCATGGGAAAACTCTGCTGTCTACTTCTCCACAGGGCCAGTGGGGCTCAGGGAGAGTCTTCTTCAACTCTTCAAATTCAGTGTGCAAGGGGAAAGCAGATCTGATTTGCACTGTCCTCCTTCTTCTTAATCTTTGCCTTTCTTTTGAAAACTGCACTTTCTTTCTCCAAGAGACAAGCAAAGGTTAGGTCGGCCATTTCAAAACGCTCTCCATAACAAACGCTAGACATCGCTCAACCATCAACGTCATGGGAGAGGGCATCAACAGCTTCCCTTTACAAAAACAGCTCCTTTACTTCTGTGTAACCAGAGAACACATTATAAATCATGAAGTTTGAAGTCTTGCAGTAGTGAGACAGCTGGTTACCCGTCCTTAGTTTCTAATGTTACATCCAGCATGAAACTGACAAACGTTAGCATGTTAGCCCTCTAGCATACAACACATAGTTGGTTTCTATAGGACTATCCTATGCGCGTTAGCCAGTAAGCTACGTGATCCTACGATTTAATGGCCTTAGCACTGGCCACCAATTTGGTAGGTTGTTGTTGTAAGTTTCACCACCGTAATAATTGTTCTTTTTAATCGGTTCTTCATGAATCCCGTTCCTGTTCATGGTGGATTCTTGTTTTTTTCAAACGTGAAATGTAGGGTGAATTTGACAAGTTTCCTAGCAAAATGATTCATTCATGACATTGCATCTTGTATGAGGAGCTGATTTGTAGCATTTCATGGCAGATGCAACATATTGCATGACCTCTACAATCAAGTGATAGTGAAAAATCCTGCAGACGTGTGTGATTGTCGTGAAAATGGAGGCCTTCAGGAGGCGACTAGGTATTGATTTGCAGGTCAGGAAGGACACGAGGATGTTGGAATGGAGGAAATGACGTGCTTAAGCAGTATTAGGACGCAGGCAAGGAGTGTCCTTATTCTTTTTTTAATAGTACGTGTCGTATTTCGTGGGAGACATGTACGACGTCCTCGTCCCTCCATTGTCACAAAGGAAAAGGGCGCCATGGAGAATGCGGGCATCGATCCCGCTACCTCTCGCATGCTAAGCGAGCGCTCTACCATTTGAGCTAATTCCCGGTGGGACCAAAGTGCCGTGCTGAGCAGGGATGTCTTTGTTTCTTTCGCTGGTACACGAGAATTGAAAAGTGCTTTTTGGATGGACGTTCCTTTCAGCTTTTGTATGAAGCGCCCACTGCATGGAATTGAAAGACAGGGGAGCCAAGTTGTAGTGAGAGCAGGAGTAATTTATTGCGGGTGGAATAGGTAGTCTCATGGAGATAGAGGGCGGTTTAAAACACTTTGGAAGAGGTAAAATGGCATTGTGTAAGAAGGCTTTGACAAATAGTTGTTTGGCTAAGTTAGAAAAGAGCTTGCTCCCCGTCGGGGAATCGAACCCCGGTCTCCCACGTGACAGGCGGGGATACTCACCACTATACTAACGAGGAGAAGAGATGGGAACAGCTTCCCAACAGCGTGTGCTACTGCTAACGTTGACCCCATACACCTTTGGAGCAGCGCGCTTACTCTTGAAATATCAAGCCCAAGGACAGGCATTATTCATTTTGCTAGCAGGCCGAAATAGCTCAGTTGGGAGAGCGTTAGACTGAAGATCTAAAGGTCCCGGGTTTCGGCACAGACTTGCACCTTTGTGTTAGCAGTCTAGACTTGACCCTTTTGCTGAGCATAGCATGGGCTCAACCCCGACTGACCACAGTCTCCACGTTCTCCTTCAAAATGACAACGGATGTGTCTGCTCTCATGGGAAAACTCTGCTGTCTACTTCTCCACAGGGCCAGTGGGGCTCAGGGAGAGTCTTCTTCAACTCTTCAAATTCAGTGTGCAAGGGGAAAGCAGATCTGATTTGCACTGTCCTCCTTCTTCTTAATCTTTGCCTTTCTTTTGAAAACTGCACTTTCTTTCTCCAAGAGACAAGCAAAGGGTAGGTCGAAAGCCATTTCAAAACGCTCTCCATAACAAACGCTAGACATCGCTCAACCATCAACGTCATGGGAGAGGGCATCAACAGCTTCCCTTTACAAAAACAGCTCCTTTACTTCTGTGTAACCAGAGAACACATTATAAATCATGAAGTTTGAAGTCTTGCAGTAGTGAGACAGCTGGTTACCCGTCCTTAGTTTCTAATGGTACATCCAGCATGAAATTGACAAACGTTAGCATGTTAGCCCTCTAGCATACAACACATAGTTGGTTTCTATAGGACTATCCTATGCGCGTTAGCCAGTAAGCTACGTGATCCTACGATTTAATGGCCTTAGCACTGGCCACCAATTTGGTAGGTTGTTGTTGTAAGTTTCACCACCGTAATAATTGTTCTTTTAATCGGTTCTTCATGAATCCGTTCCTGTTCATGGTGGATTCTTGTTTTTTTTTCAAACGTGAAATGTAGGGTGAATTTGACAAGTTTCCTAGCAAAATGATTCATTCATGACATTGCATCTTGTATGAGGAGCTGATTTGTAGCATTTCATGGCAGATGCAACATATTGCATGACCTCTACAATCAAGTGATAGTGAAAAATCCTGCAGACGTGTGTGATTGTCGTGAAAATGGAGGCCTTCAGGAGGCGACTAGGTATTGATTTGCAGGTCAGGAAGGACACGAGGATGTTGGAATGGAGGAAATGACGTGCTTAAGCAGTATTAGGACGCAGGCAAGGAGTGTCCTTGTTCTTCTTTTTTAATAGTACATGTCGTTGTATTTCGTGGGAGACGTACGACGTCCTCGTCCCTCCATTGTCACAAAGGAAAAGGGCGCCATGGAGAATGCGGGCATCGATCCCGCTACCTCTCGCATGCTAAGCAAGCGCTCTACCATTTGAGCTAATTCCCCGGTGGGACTAAAGTGCCGTGCTGAGCAGGGATGTCTTTGTTTCTTTCGCTGGTACACGAGAATTGAAAAGTGCTTTTGGATGGATGTTCCTTTCAGCTTTTGTAGGAAGCGCCCACTGCAAGGAATTGAAAGACAGGGGAGCCAAGTTGTAGTGAGAGCAGGAGTAATTTAATGCGGGTGGAATAGGTAGTCTCATGGAGATAGAGGCGGTTTAAAACACTTTGGAAGAGGTAAAATGGCATTGTGTAAGAAGGCTTTGACAAATAGTTGTTTGGCTAAGTTAGAAAAGAGCTTGCTCCCCATCGGGAATCGAACCCCAGTCTCCGCGTGACAGGCGGGATACTCACCACTACTAACGAAGAGAAGAGATGAGAACAGCTTCCCAACAGCGTGTGCTACTGCTAACGTTGACCCCATACACCTTTGGAGCAGCGCGCTTACTCTTGAAATATCAAGCCCAAGGACAGGCATTATTCATTTTGCTAGCAGGCCGAAATAGCTCAGTTGGGAGAGCGTTAGACTGAAGATCTAAAGGTCCCGGGTTTCGGCACAGACTTGCACCTTTGTGTTAGCAGTCTAGACTTGACCCTTTTGCTGAGCATCGCATGGGCTCAACCCCGACTGACCACAGTCTCCACGTTCTCCTTCAAAATGACAACGGATGTGTCTGCTCTCATGGGAAAACTCTGCTGTCTACTTCTCCACAGGGCCAGTGGGGCTCAGGGAGAGTCTTCTTCAACTCTTCAAATTCAGTGTGCAAGGGGAAAGCAGATCTGATTTGCACTGTCCTCCTTCTTCTTAATCTTTGCCTTTCTTTTGAAAACTGCACTTTCTTTCTCCAAGAGACAAGCAAAGGTTAGGTCGGCCATTTCAAAACGCTCTCCATAACAAACGCTAGACATCGCTCAACCATCAACGTCATGGGAGAGGGCATCAACAGCTTCCCTTTACAAAAACAGCTCCTTTACTTCTGTGTAACCAGAGAACACATTATAAATCATGAAGTTTGAAGTCTTGCAGTAGTGAGACAGCTGGTTACCCGTCCTTAGTTTCTAATGGTACATCCAGCATGAAATTGACAAACGTTAGCATGTTAGCCCTCTAGCATACAACACATAGTTGGTTTCTATAGGACTATCCTATGCGCGTTAGCCAGTAAGCTACGTGATCCTACGATTTAATGGCCTTAGCACTGGCCACCAATTTGGTAGGTTGTTGTTGTAAGTTTCACCACCGTAATAATTGTTCTTTTTAATCGGTTCTTCATGAATCCGTTCCTGTTCATGGTGGATTCTTGTTTTTTTTTCAAACGTGAAATGTAGGGTGAATTTGACAAGTTTCCTAGCAAAATGATTCATTCATGACATTGCATCTTGTATGAGGAGCTGATTTGTAGCATTTCATGGCAGATGCAACATATTGCATGACCTCTACAATCAAGTGATAGTGAAAAATCCTGCAGACGTGTGTGATTGTCGTGAAAATGGAGGCCTTCAGGAGGCGACTAGGTATTGATTTGCAGGTCAGGAAGGACACGAGGATGTTGGAATGGAGGAAATGACGTGCTTAAGCAGTATTAGGACGCAGGCAAGGAGTGTCCTTATTCTTTTTTTAATAGTACGTGTCGTATTTCGTGGGAGACATGTACGACGTCCTCGTCCCTCCATTGTCACAAAGGAAAAGGGCGCCATGGAGAATGCGGGCATCGATCCCGCTACCTCTCGCATGCTAAGCGAGCGCTCTACCATTTGAGCTAATTCCCAGGTGGGACCAAAGTGCCGTGCTGAGCAGGGATGTCTTTGTTTCTTTCGCTGGTA